AGAGCTAAGAGCAGGACCTTTACACTGAAAAACAAAACTTTTCTACTGATATCAAGCAAGCCACTCTCTCAGCTTTAGTCTCCTCCATAGAAACTGCGACCTGCGACCGATTTGGACAGACAGTTCCTCCAGGCCCAAAAGTAGAGAACTGCCACCCAGTACTCACTGAATTAGCCAAGTTGCCCAAAGTTCAGGTTTCAAATTGGAGGGACATGTTCCTCCCCTTAGCTAAAGACTGTGAGTGAGGTAATAGATGGGAAAGGCCAGCAGCATATGTTCCACTAGGCAAAAGTGCACCTCTTTTTTTTCCACTGAACTGTGGTGCTCCTGATAAATGAAATGGGGCACAGAGGAGAGGGAGACTTAATTTATTAGTTATGAATAGGGAGAAGGGGAGGAGGTGCAGGGGGAGGGGGAAACATGGTCAACTTTAGTTTCCAGTCACATTAGCAGAGGTTATAGGTGGAGCCACTACTTCTAAGAAATATCATCTCCTTACCAAAAAGATTTGCAAGAAATGTTTGTGGCCGAGGACCTAAGGTACTTGCTACAGGGAGGTGAGGTCAGAGGTCAGCTCAATCCTGCAATATAATAAACGCAGCAAACCTGGGTCACATCAAAATGGCAGCAATGCCAGGCAATGCCCAACAGGAAAAAAGAAAGAAAGAAAGAAAGCCAGGGAGGGTTAGGGTGCACACGTAGGCACATGGCATGAAGAACCAAAGGCTCGAAGGGCGGATGGCATGGCTTTCCTCAGCTGATTCAGTGTAGCTCCTTACCTGAGGGCAGCCCTGCCCAAAGAAACCACAACAAAGGAGGAGGGTTTGGAAAAGCCTGAAATGGAAAACTGCTGGTGCCACCACCAGCTCTCCGAGGGAGGGGAAAAAAAAAAAAGAAAACAAAACAAAAAAGCTGGGAGAAACAAACACAGACAGACAGACAAGGTCACAATGACAAGAAACAGAGAAACCGTTAGAAGAAATGCAACAGTCTGCCAGATGCCCATTAGCACAAGAGGTGGGGGGGGGGGGAAGGAATTTGCAAACAGCTCTGCACAGGCCAAGGCAGCAAGCATTAAGTAGGGCAGGTGAATCTGGAAAGTGGATAAAGGACACAGGAAACCCTGGGTCAATCGTGTAGCTGCAATCAGGGTGTAGGTGGAAAAGGTTGTTACAAACCCTTTCTTTCCTTAGGAAACTGCTGTCCTAGAGAGTTACTCAGGTTTGTGTCAAGTAAAAGATAAGGGTTATCTTTAAACACTTGTGTAACAAAGGTCAGGGAATCCTGCTTAGTTATTGTTGCATTTGTTCTTCTGTATTTATTTTATTTTACAAAGCCACTCCAAGTGCAACTTATTCTGAATGACATAGGATTCCTGAGAATGTGCCTGATAAATTAACATTTACACTTGATTTCTCCAGTGTGTAATTCTTCAGATGTGTGGGTTACAAACCCTTAACATTTCCAACCAAGGTGGCAGATGGAATACATTTGGAGGGCACCACATCAGAGAAGGTTGATCTGCACAATTGTCAAAGCAGGCCTGCGTAGCACATAGTGTCTGGAACTGATGCAGAATTGTAGCTTTGCATTTAGTTCCAGAGGGCTCAAAGTGCATTTACTGGTTTGTTGTATAATGAAGTATGTAATTCAAATAATAGTCATATTTGATCAGCTGCCTGTGATACACAACTGGTAAGTATTGGCATACTGGAGCATGCTGGGCATGACTGACTGCTATAGAGCCACAGCATTATCTAAGTTTATAGCTATAGCCTCTAAAGGCTCATTGATGCCACTTTTCTCATAGTGCCCAATAGAATCAAATAAATAATCTAATACCCAGGAAGACAGTATCTAGTCATAACTAGTCAAACTAGATTCGTCAATAGGCAGAGGAAATTGAGAAAATAAATATGAACCACACCATTCACAAAGCAAAAATGAACACAGCAATGGGATAGTTATCTAGACTCTCTTTTGCCTGCCAGCGATGCCTCAATTAAAAACTAGCTAATAATTTTGGAAATGATACTGTATTGGTATCAGTAGTAATGATAGGAGTCCAGCATATTAGACTGTGAGAGCTGTTGAATATTTGATAATGGAGGAATGCTCCAGGAATCTTGATTTGTTGGACCGCGCAGCCTACAATTCCAGTTTTTACAAAAAGTATAATTAAAGGAATGCAACTCATTTGGGATTCATACATGAATGCAAATATGCCCTGTGCCCTGAATGTTGTGAGTGCAATGGAAGAATGGGAGGTAAATAATACTGTAGTCCGAGATGGCTCACAGTTTTGATGGTGATATACAATAGCCTTAAATAAAATGTATACCAAAATGAACACTGATTGTTCAAAGATGAACCTCAGCAAATAATTAAAGTTTGTGCATTTGTATCTTTGCTGTATTGTTAAATTATTGTAAAACTCTTTCCTAAAGAAACATTGCACTAACAATGTCTGAAGGCATTTCAACAGAACAGGGAATGAGTATCTCTTTGATCAAAGAGACCATTTGTAAGACATTCAGTGGAGCTGACAAGGTGGCTCCAGGTCTCTTCCTGACCTACAATTCAACAGATAAATGCACTACTACACCCATACTTTAGGAAAGACTGTTTTTCTTCCACCAATATATATGGTTGGTATATCATTTGTCTTAGTAGTACACCCTTCTCCAAATTATGACTGATAAAAGGATTATCTGTATATTTAAACTGAATACATACACTTTTAAAGAAAAAGTTTTCCCCTGCCCAGTCATGTTCAACTCTAGGGGAGCAGTGCCCATCTCTGTTTCCTAGCCAAATGGAGCCAGCATTGTCTGAAGACGCTTCCGTGTTCATGTGGCCAGCATGGCTATACGCCAAGGTGCATGGAATGCTGCTACCTTTCCATCAAAGTGGTACCTATATATCTACTTGCATTTTCATGCTTTTGAACTGCTAGGTTGGTAGGAGCTGGGGCAAAAATGGGAGCTCACTCCATCAAGTGGTACTTGGGTCTCAAACTGCCAACTTTCCGGCCAACAAGCCCAACATTTTAACTGCTAGGGCACTATGCCTCCTATATATACACATTTAATACCTGCTAAAGTCACTCGCAGATTCCCTTGTCTTCTCTACATGGTTACATAATTGCTTAGTCCTGCCAAAAAATATCCACAGTATAAATGACTAACCACCAGTTTAGATTTTTGGGGTTAAGATCAAGAACTGGGTAATAGGAGGCACATATGCACTGACGACTTGACGTTCCTAGTTAAACAGGAGGAACACTGGTATAGGCAACTTCTCATGCTGCAGCCCTGAAGGGTTGACAAAAGCTGCCTTGTCTGAAATTCTACACAGCTGTTCAGCAGAAAGAAAAACTCATCCATTGGATTTGATCCTTCCTAGTAGAAGTATGCACAACTCATGCCCCAGATTTACAAGTAATCCACCCCCAAATGATAGTAAGACTCCAATTTCTCCCTAGTTTTGACAAATACGGTAATTTTTAATTTAGTATATAAAATCAAATACACAGTAATAATCACACTATGGCTTTGTTTAATTAATTGTATTTAATTTCAATTAACTTTCAATTAAACCAAATTCAGTTTTGTGTTTCATGCACCCAATTTTTTACCATGCCCCTTTCCCCATCCACATCATGTTACTCAAGAAATGTGCAGCTTTCTGATCAAAAGAAAGGATCCACAAAGGAACCAAATTATTTGTACTGAAAGCAACAAAATGATACTGGATTTAGTGGCTCATCTAAATCTAAACCGAATGGTTTGATAAAAACTTATTTCCTTAAATGTTCCACAGAACTTTTATTTGCGATGATCACATTAGATTTGATTACCTATTATGAGTTTATATGTTATTTCAGCTTTTTTCCCCCTTACCAGAATATTCTATTCCAAAACATACTATTTTTATAGATTTAGTAGAATTTTCAGCTGAACTCCGATAGATGAAAGAACAATAGTTTTTACTTTTGTATATCCTAATAGTTTAGAAATTTTATTACTGAAGGGCTAAATAATGCAACAATGGAATTGTTGTGAAGAATGTATTTTTAAAATAAGGATTGGGCTTTATGGGGTTGATTAAATTTGCAAGAACATGAACCTCATCTAGTCAGATCATTAATGGATCAGACTTTGGATCTCTATTTAGAAACACATTTTTTAGCTCATAGTAAACATAATGGAGCAAAATCTGTAAGCAAATTTTAGCAAAAAACTAAGTAACAATATAAGCCAGAATTGCAAGACCTTTACAAAAGGGAATACAGTATTAAACTATTTTTAAACCAGAAAAACAATGTTCTAAGCACACTCTTATCAGTATATAATTATTCCTAACTGCATCTGTGTTGCAATTGTAACATACTATTCCTAAACAATTTCTGAGATAGCAAATAATTTATTGAACTTATTTCTGAATAGCCAAATGTCTGCAAGTCAGGAAACCATTACAGTTTTCTTAATGGTAAACTGAAATATTTGACCCGGATACTTTTTGGCATTTATGGTGAGTAAAAACAATTTTTGTAAAATGTTAGGATTGGAAGAAATTTTCATTTTTTTTATGGGGGACATGAAGATTTGAACTGTCATCACTTTAATGTGCTTGGTAATCATAATAAGAACCAAGGCATGGAACTACAAGATTTATGGGAAGGTTTTGTTTAAACTGAGCTTACTTAGTGATTTTGGCACCTGATCATCCACTGTAAATCTTGCTACTTTGACAAATGCTCTGTGAAATGAGAAGCAGCCAACAGATCCATTTCCAAGGGAGTGGGCAAGATTCTTCATAACTGAGACATCACCCAAGAATTAATCTTTGATTATAAGAAGACTGTACTGGTTCAACTGGGAAAGCTAAAAAAAAAACCTAAGACCAATTATACTTGATATGACACTGCAACTTAGAGGAAAACAAGAGGGGTCAGAATCTTGAGTGATTCTGTTGAATTTAAAGAAAATCCAACTTACCTTTGTTCCTCTTCAAGTTCGTCTTTGGTCATCATTGTTTTATACTGGTTTCCTCTCAGTTTGCCAGGACTATATTTAAAGGGGAATTTTTCATCTGCTACAAGAGAACGAAAGAAAGAAGAGAAAGGCTATTTGCTGTGGTAAAGACCAATGAAATATACCTTAAAAAAAATTAAACAGCTAACATTGGGCATGTTCAAGTGCCATGAAAAATTAATTGTTGGGAGGGAAAGGGGTGAGAAGACATGGAAGGGCTGATCACGTGGGAACAAGAACTCCACTCCTATGTTTTGTTGTATAAAGCACCAAAAGGCAAGATGAGAAACAATGGATGGAAATTACTCAAGAAGAGAAGCAATCTAGAACTAAGGAGAAATTTTCTAAAGGTGAGAGCAATCAACCAATGGAACAACTTGCCTTCAGAGGTTGTGGGTGCTCCATCACTGGAGGCTTTTAAAGAGAGACTGGACAATCATTCATCTGAGACGGATAGGGTCTCCTGTTCAAGCAGGAGGTTGGACTAGAATATCTCCAAGATCCCTTCCAACTCTTATTATTCTATGATCTATGTTCTAATTAATCAAGTCCAGTCATCTGCAAGGCTCTGTACCATTTCAGCCCAGATTCTCAGAATAAGTTTAGGGTTTATTACTGACCATTTACAAAGTTTCTGATTCTCCTAGCATGATTTTGTACAGTTTGATTTATTTTAGGCATCACGTGAAAGTCCTTTAATATGCCTCTTTATAGTAGAGTTTTACGCTGTAAATAATACAGTGTGAGTAATTCCCATTGATTCATTTAAGCCTCAGTACTAAATTGACTTAGGTTTTTATCATCTGCAAATGGCTTCCACAATTATTTTAATATCATGTTCTACATTGTTTGAATTTCTAAATGGTAGCTTTGTTTAAGAATGCTGCAGAAATAGCAACAATAAGTTTGTGGTATCTTGAAAATAGGAGTGTGTAAAACATTCAGACTTTGAGCTGCTTCATTGTACAAAACAGGCTGTTCCAATCTCATGGGAAGGGTTCCAATCTTAAAATAACTTTTAAAATAATGGTTAGTCAGAACACATTTAGTGAAACGGTAACAATTTGATTCAAGCTTAGAATAGAATTGAAACATAATGTACACCTGTCCTTAAAAACAAACTTTACTGCAGATTTATTAGAGTATTATAGCCCATACAAGCGGGCAAGTGCATACAAATACCCTATTGTGTGAACAAAGCAATTGTTTGTTAATTTGAGTTTAGGACATAGCACAGGACAACCAATAATTTCTTAGCCTCTTTTTTTGTGGCCTTTAGAACTGAAGGACTACTGAACGAAGATGGTGATTTAGTCATAGAGAAAATGAACAAGGGCAAATATACATGTCCCAGGATAATGTTCAACCCAATCGATCCAGATTGGATCTTACAAAATGAACGAGTACTGAACTGTAAAACAAAGAAATGAAAAAAACGGTTTGAAGAGGTTTGAGAAAATCATGTTGGATGGAATCCAAAGAGGATTCGTAAAAAGACAAAAAGAAACAGCCATGGAGTCCCATTAACTACACATGAAATGGAAGTTCTAGGCTTCTATAAGCCTTAGAAATAGAAACTATATTCTAAGATCTAAATTGTATCTCCTGGCAGAATGAACTATGAATATGCCATACTTATCAATTATTTGAATAAGCCATTATTGAGTTCTTACAATGTGCTAAGCTAGAATATATAAAATACGATGGCTGAATTTTATACAATGTGGTAAAGGCAAAACAGAACAAAGGAGATTATGGTTTGTTATGAGTTGTGAAGTAGGCATATCATAATTAGGTTGCAAAAATCTAGATGACCACTAAATGGGTGCAGATACTATTGACTATTGCTTTGGTGTCATAGTATAGTTATTGAAACCTTTGGAGCCCATACATAGTACAATTACTAGGAATGGAGGCATTTTGACTTTGACTTATAGGAGCTGCAGTCTAATACATCTTGAAAGCACCAGTTGAGGAAGGCTGATGCAAATGAAATGGATACTAAAATGTCAGATGGAATTCAACTGTATCTGATTTGGGCTAGGGAAGAATCATGTTTCTAGGACTCAGATGAATGAGGGCAATAGCTGTATCAAAGTGCTGATCGTTTTCCATCTGTCACCCCAGCAACTAATTTTAACACAAAATTAAAATACAGTCCACTTGTAGAGCAATCAGTCAACATGGAAACAATTTAAATTGCTCCATACCCTTTTAAATGTATTGAATAGGTTATAGGCCTCTTGCAAAGCCTGTTTCTAATTTAACTCCATGATTCTCTTTCTCTTTTAATATAATATGAAAGCTCCTGTCTATTAACATCACAATCCCACTTCTACATTTTGTGCAAAGCTGAAATTATTCTTCAAGGGCATACATTTTGCTAAGTTTATTTGATGTCCTCTTCAGAGCTGGTGAAGAAAAGGAAAGGGAAATATGAATTCAGGTCTTGCCTCCATCTAAGTTTCAGAACCTCATTACAAAGTCTGGACTTGGTGTATGTGTAATGGGAGTGAAATGACCTACTTTAAACAAAGCATCTGGAAAGAGACATTTTTAAAGACATACCTAACCTCCATTCATTAAAAGCCTGCAAGAAGATACATCATTCTTTCAAAGATCATTTCCTTGCAGCCATTTTTTCAACAAAGAGCTTCAGTGGAAAGACTTTTTACTCATTGCACCTTATGCTATTATGCCTAGTTACTTAGAAGTAAGCCCAATTAAATCAACAGCACTGATGCAGACTGTTCTATAGCTTAAATACAATTAAGCATGTAGCTATAGCTGTAATTTTCTAAAAAAAAAAACAACCAAAACCTTTTGTGGCTTTCTTCTGTTGAAGCCGAACTCCAGCTCATGTTCAGAATCAACCAAGATAAAAATATTCCCATTTTAAAAATTAAAACTAACAAATTAAAACAAGAAAAATCAGGCCACATACTTTAAAGACAAAAATAATAGACAGATTCATTTAAAACAGATGCTTACTATTGTGGCTCCTGCAGAAATAGACATAAAATGAATTAAGGAAACACAACATTTGCTATCTCACCTTTTAAAATCCATGTGACAGCTAAAGACCTCACTTTCCTTGCCTTACCTTTGAATGTGTCTGAATTATGTAACTCCTCACTTGGGGAATACATCAGCTGATACAGCTATAAGGGTAGAGTCCAAAGATTTGATAGAATGTCCAGAAAACAAAGCCCCTGAACACCTGTTCCCTCCACTACTTCACACCATCAGTATCACTTCATTTATCCTTTGAATTGGATAAATTATCTGATGCTGAGGTCTGATAATCAAAATTAGATGTTCTTTGTTTCCTTTTCATTTAGCAATTCATTGCATCTCAAGTAATCAGTAGTCTTTGGAATCACATCTTGCTAAACACTATGTAGAAGTGGTAACAGAAGAGAGTATTTGCAGCTTAGGGTTGAACTTGGGAATCCTTGGTGTTCTTTTGAGCTTGATTGTTTGCTTGCAGACATTTCCTTACCCAGCTAGGTAACTTCATCAGCGGGGGTGGATGTGGAGTTTGTTCCCTGTTTATGTACTGTAGCTTGCCTAGCTTGTGTAGGTGGGGTGTGATAGTTCCTTGATTAGGATATTGTTTAATTGTTTGTCTGGTGTTAATCCTTGCTTACAGTATCTGGGTGTTGGCTGCTAAAGCTTTTTTAATTGATTCTTTTGAATGCTGTGTGAATGTGGTTTATCTCTATATTTCTACTGATGGCTGATTTGTTTGAATGCCAAGCTTCCAAGAATTCCCTAACAGTACTGGATTTAGCTTGTCAGTAAGATGTCAGTTTCCCAATTGAAAGCATGGTTGAATTTGTCCAGTGTTGTGAGATTAACATCTTCTGAATTTTAGTTGATTTCATAGATGCCTTCTGCTAGTCTCCTGCTTATCTGCTCTACTTAGAGACTATTACAGTCTTTACACTGTATGTTATAAATCACTCTTGTTTTCTTTCTTCTTGGGACTACTGGATCTTCTGGTTTACTTAAGATGTTTTAGAGGGCTTTAGTTGATTTGAGTGCTATGGTGATGCCAGGGGATTGTAACAGTCTGCTGGTTGTTTCTGAGATGTTTTTGATTTATGTCAGTGTTAACTTTTTCATAGCTTGTACTGTAGTGGGTTGAGTGGTCAGGCATTTTTGAAAGTTGCAGGAATATCGATTTTGTTGGAAGATTTTGCATAGGTGGTCTGTTACCTTTTTTTGGTGTTCCTTGTATTAACATCAGACAAACAATCAAGTAGAAAACAATACACTGATCAAGGAACTGCCAAAGAGAAAACCATACCCTAGCAACACTGGCAGGGCAAGCTACTGCATATAAATAGGGATCAAAGCCTGAACTCACTTGCACTGAATGTTGTTACCTAGACAGGTAATGAAATATCTGCAAGCAAATAATCAGGCTCAAAAAAATACCAGGAATTCCACAGAAGTGTAAATTTTGGGAAATTGCAATTCTCACATCTGCAAGCCAGGGATCTCTAGAGTCCAGGGGTAGGCAACCTTGGCTCTTTTATGACTCATGGACTTCAACTCGTGGACTTCAACTTCAACGAGTCATAAAAGAGCCATGGTTGCCTACCCTTGCTCTAGACCAATCAGCCTCCTCAGTTCTGGAATCTACCAGGAATCTGCTGAACTACTGAGTTCTGACTCTTTTTCTAAATTAAAGGTTGAGAAGGTATAATTCAGTGTGTGGTTTTTCTGGGGAAAGGAATGTGGCTCAGTAGCAGAGCAAATATTTTGCATGCATGGCTGAATATCCTGTTATATTTGTCAAGTTATTAGAAAGGCTGGATCTCATCGCAGACAATAGAAATGCCTTTGCTGAAAACCCTGGAATTAGCCTATGGAAACAATTCTGGGCCACAAGATAAGCAACTGATTTCTTCCAAATGCCATATATGGATTCTTTTATCTTATTTAGAAAAATGATCTTGCACTTTTTCTTGCTACATATGAACACCTTCCTGGCTTGGAAATGAGAAATATTACTTTGCTCCTGGGTATCAGAATGAGAATTAAGATAGATGA